AGTGGCTGCCTGTGTTCTGCTCTAGAATTTTGATGGATTTCTGTCTTACACTGAGGGAGTCTTCCATCCATTTTGAATCTGTTTTTGTGTGTGGTGTAAGGAAATAGTCCAGTTTCATTCTTCTGCTTGTGGCTGTCCAATTTTCCCAACACTATTTGTTTGGAGAGACAGTCTTTTTTCCATTGTACATTCTTTCCTGCTTTGTCGAAGATTAGTTGACCATAGAGTTGAGGTTCCCTGGGTTACTTTAAAGAGACACCTCAAACATGTCATTTCATTTTCATGTAGTCTCTTGTCTGATTATTTAATTCTTTAAATAAGTTTACTTTTTTCCTGAGCAGGGCCATTATGTATTTATTTATTCATTCTGTTACTCTAGTTATAATTTATGGTCTACTGTAAGGAGAAAAACTGCAATAACTTTAGTAGGACTAATTGTTTTATTATTCAACAGATATTTATCAAGGGTCCGTTATATACCAGATATTAGTATCAATGGATAGAAGTAACTGAATATGCATATTTTGACTTCATACAAAAATAAATATTCTAACAACTAAACTGACTTATAAACGTGTGTGTTGTTTTATGAAGGGGTGAGTTTTGCTGCTCGGCATTCAAGCAGAAGCTGAGTGAGATGTTGCATTAGGGTGCACCTGAGCAAGGCCTTCTGAGGCCTTTCCCATCTCTAGGATTCCCTGATCTTTCTTTAATTTTTAAAAATATAAATGAATAAATATCAAGGAAGGACTGAATATCCTAAATTATATGTATGCATTTTTCACATGGACAATTTCCAGGTGATCAATATAAACCAAGTGTGAGACCAGCTTCTACTTCATACTGAGAAACTGCTTTCTCTCTTTAGCATTATTATGATTAAGATTACAACTGGGGATCTGAATTCCACTGTAGGAAAATCTTTTATGCTCCAATTTACTTCTATTTCACATGACCGATGACCTCTGCTCTAGGAGAGTCTAAAGGTGCACATAAGGGAAGTAACAGCATCATATGCCCTTATGTTAACTAACATATTTGTGAGTATAGTATAAAAATTCAAGCATATTTTTTCAAGCTTTACAAAACAAATAATTTTAAATATGAAAGCAGTTTTAAGGCTGGAATAAAAGAACCTGTTGAGTGCAGGGTGAACTTGATTTGTCCTAACCACATACAAATTAGTATCTATTTCACTAGAATTCCTTATTACTCAATAAGTAATGTCTATTCTAGGAAGCATTAATCTTCAATCTGTACAGCCACACACATAAATATTTCACATTTAGATGAACTAAGCAATAGATTTTTTTTTTTTTTGAAATCTTTAAACGTGAGAAAATAGTTTCTTTGAAGTACATTGGCAAAACTCAAATCAAGGACACAAATCCTATAGCTATCTCATTAAACAGAAAAAATACTTTGAAAGAGAATTATTGAGTTTTAATATAAATTTTTGAAACAACATTTATTCTAAGTTGGAACAAAAAGGTTATTTTCACAGGATCCCATTAAGGTCATGAGAGCCCCTCTCTTACTGCATGATATTTTTTCTGTACATTTTTGGTTTATAAGCCTGGGAAATTAAGTAAGTTATTTTTTAAAATTTTTTAAAATTTTTATTATTTATTTATTTATTTACTTATCTTATCATGGATAAATTTTGGATTCTTTTAAAATTTAATTTTTTTTTCAGTGTTTCAAGATGCATTGTTTATGCACCACACCCAGTGCTCCACGCAATACGTGCCCTCCTTAATACCCACCACCAGGTTCACCCAATCCCCCACCCTCTCCCCTCCAAAACCCTCAGTTTGTTTCTTAGAGTAAGTTATTTATTTTTTTTTTTCAAGATTTTGTTTTCTTATTTGAATGAGAGAGAGAAAGAGAGAGAGAGGGAGAGAGCACACACACAAGCGGGCAGGGAGGGGCAGAGGGAGAAGCAGGTTCCCTGAACCTGATATGTGGCTCAATCCCAGGACTCAGCAATCATGACCTGACCTGAAGGTAGACACTTAACTGACTGAGCCACCTAAGTAAGTAAGTTATTTTCTAGTCACAGAGAATCCTGAATATAGGTAGACCTGAGAACTTAAGCTAGGGTAGGTAACTCACTCACTAAGGCTCAATCTTCTCTTTTCTGGAAATGAACTACTGACTACCTCTAGCTCTAGCATCACAAAACAGGTAAAGGTGGGAATATGCCCTTGAATTCGAGTTTCATATTTTGGTAGAATGTTTCCTAGAGACAGAACATGGGGTCTGAGGCATCAAGTGTTGCCTGGGAACTAGAGGTAATACTTTTAAATTAAGATAAGATACCAATCCATGCCTTGAAAAATACCTGGCCATACATTTAACATGAATTTCCTGAAGGCCTCCTATATGCCAGGCTCTGTGTTTGGCATTCGGTAATCAAAGACAAATAAGACATGGACACTAATCTCAAGTTGTTTAGAATATTATTAATACCCTATGAGAGAAAGATGTTAAGCAGGTGACCATAGTAAATAAGTCTGGATTTCAGAGTGCTTCTCAAATATCCTGGAATGGATGGAGTTGGGGGTAGAGAAGAGATTACGTGTTATATTAAAGTAAATGGGAACTAGGAGTGTGCTGTCATTTACGAAGGCTGATTCTAATGATCCAAGGGCATAGAACAGATATATTGAGATGTATGCTTCAGCTGAATCTTCCCAAGGCAACTAGAGTTTGCATTAGTCAATGGCTATACTAGACTTATTTATCTGAAGAAGATAAAATTCCAAACTGTACTTATTTCAACAGTGCTTGTTTCAATTCAGTGAATTGAATCAGGTTATTCTAATTACACATACATTTAGGGTTAGCAAAAATTTTAAGGATTCCTTATCTTTCAGATGAGAAGGGAATTAAAGTTGAAGGAAAACTTTTGAGGAAAAAAATACACTTTAAAGTAGATACATTAATAGCAAGCCAAATATACAGCATAGCCAAGTAATACCTCCTTCAGAATGGCAAAGGAGTGCCTACAATCATATAGATAAAAAGTGTAGAAATGGGTAGAATATCAGTATTCTGAGATTGTGGTAGTAATGAAGATGGGAGTGACTCTTAGTTCACTCAAATTAGAATGAATATGCTGGTTAGAAAGGAAAATTACATTTTCTGTTATTTATAAATACATGTGTCACTTCATTAACAATTAACAAATGACTGTCTTGATGGCTGTCTTGGTGTCAACTATAATAATAATAACACAAACACAGTTATCTTCCAACAGCAATTCAGGATAAAACTCTCAGCAAAGCAGCAACAGGGTAAACTTACTTAACACAATGCAGAAATACAAAAACCTACTGATAATATCATACTTAATGGCAAAAGATGGAATGGTTTCCCCCAAGATCAGAAACAAGGCAAGGATGTCACTGGCACCAATCTTATTTAACACAGTAATGGAAATTTTAGCCAGAAGAAGGAAAAAAAGGGCATAGATTGGAAAGAAGAAATCAGAGGTTTCCATGTAATTGTCTAAGTAGAAAATCCTATTGAATCTTAAAAACGCCTCCTAGAATCAATAAATGAGCAAGGTTATAGTATACAAGAGGAACACACAAAAATCAACTATTTCTATTTATTAAAAACAAACATGCGGAAACCAAACTTCAAAACACAGTATTTGTAATCACTTCAAAGAAAATAAAATATTTAATCATACACTTAACAGAAAATGTACAGGATCTCTATGGTAACATGGGTGTCAGTTGGAAATAGGAAACAATGAGGAAACTGAAGTAAATATACTGAGGAAAGTGGAAGCTGAGTTTCTCACTGCTAGAGAAGATACCTGTAGACAGAAATGACTAGAAAGAACCCTTGAAATGCTATGTTAGATGAGAAATGGAAGTATGGGCATAAATTCATGGTTTTATAGTAAGCAAATGTATGCATACATATATACATACATACAGTGATAGATGGGTATATTTCTGTGTTGTGTATGTGAAGCCGTATCTGTATTTCCTAGCTCTGTCCATTGGGAAAAGCTAGAAGAAATGACACTCAGTAAGAATCAGTAAACTGAGAATCTAGAATTTGGTTTTTAAATACCATCCACTACAAAAGGAAACAGGGCTCCTTGGAGAGACGTCAGATTCTAGACTTTGGGAAAGGGAGGTATAAGATGAATTTGGAGTATCTTTCTTTTCCAGAAAACATGTCAAAAAGATACAGGAGCCAGTGTGAAGGAGCTTCTACTGCTTCTATTGGGAACACTTTGAACATTAAATGATTTTATGTACTGAACATAATATGAATACATACATATAATAAATATAATAATGAAATACATATATATGATAAATGAATACATAAATGCATGGAAGAGAAAGATATAATAGAATGCCAACTAATAAATGTAGAAGGAATGTTGGAAATAGAGAATCACTGTTTGACAACTATCTCAGAGAAAGCATTCACAAAGATGGAAACAGTGAACTTAAGGTGGAGAGACCTGGTGGTCAATAAGATGACCAGAAGATCAAGATTAACATTATGGTAGTGTGACAGGTCAACATCACGTGCGTCCTGATAAAATGCACGAGAAGTACACAGCAATTCCATGCAATGGAATTTCTGCAAACAATGTATGACCTGAGTGGAGAAGAGAAAACAGGGTTATGCTACAGAATGAAACCTGTATCCTTTAAAATTGGTAAGGAACTGAAACGGAATTGTTCCAGACTGAAGAAGTCTGCAAAGATGTGACAATGAAATGCAATAGGAATTCCTGGATAAAATCCTGAAACAGAAAAATATCATTGTTGGGACATTTGAAGAATTTGAACAGGGTCTGTATATATGATGGTAGTGTAACCAAGTTGATTTCCTGATTCAGAGAGTTGTATATAGGTTACGTAGGAGTCAGTTCTTATTCTTTGGAGAATTTGCATTGACAGAGAGAATACAAAATTAAATGTTAATAAGTTAAAAATAGAACATATAAAACAAATACTCACCAATCACTTTAACAAAATAAGCATCTGCTTCGAAGTTATTTTTTAGTGTATGGATGGCAAAATCATTCTTTGTATATCCTTTACTTAGTACTACAATGTCCAAGATTCCCTGGAAAACACATACACAAAAGTTGTAAGAAAAAACCAGCAACTGAAAAAATAATGAAAATACATGCATGGTCATCATGTAAATATAAACCTTATTCAACTTGATGTTCAAAATAAAAATATTAAAAAATATAAAATCTTAAGAAAGAGAGAGAGGCAAACCAAGAAACAGACTCTTCTCTCTAGAGAACAAACTGATGGTTACCAGAGAGGATGTGGGTGGGGGTAGGGGAAATAGGTGATGGGGATTAAGGAGTGTACTTGTCATGAGTACTGCATGTTGTAAGGAACTACTGAATTACTATATTGTATACCTGAATTTATTACTACACTAAATATTAACTGGAATTTACATATAAACTTAAAAAAAGAAAAACCCGGGGCACCTGGGTGGCTCAGTGGGTTAACCCTCTGCCTTCGGCTCAGGTCATGATCTCAGGGCCCTGGGATCAAGCACCGCATCGGGCTCTCTGCTCAGTGGGGAGCCTGCTTCCCCCTCTCCTTCTGCCTGCCTCTCTGTCTGCTTGTGATCTCTGTCAAATAAAACAAAACAAAACAAAACAAAAAACCCCAAACAACCTCAAACCTTAAAATAGTAAACTATAAACAGAATGAAAAAAAAATCTGTAATTTTAATCTCTGGAGATAAGTATTATAATTTTTGTATATTTCCTTCCGGTAATATTTGCATGTATTTTTATTTTTTAAAAAAGATTTACTTATTTATTTTAGAGAAAAAGAGAGAGTGTGCAAGCAGGGGGAGGGGCAGAGGGAAAGGAAGAAACTCAAGCAGATTCCCTGCTGAGCGTGGATTGCCATGCATGACCTGAGATGCACGACCTGAGCGGAATTCAAGAGTTGGATGCTTAACTGACTGAGCCACCCAGGCGCTCCTGCATGAATTTTTAAAGAACTATGAAATGGACTGCTAAATTGTTTTCAACCATCAGAGGAAGAGAGCACTTTTTTTTTGCCCTGGTGAACATGACATATTAACATTATTTCTCCCTAAAAAAGGACATTTTGCTCATTTTATTGGGGAGGGAAAAGCTATGCTCATATTTAAGTTTAAATTTAAATTTCTACTTTACTGATTATTTATTTACATATTAAAATTGTTTTGTGTATACTTGACATACAGTATTACATTAGTTTCAGGGGTACAACATAGTGACTCAACCGTATACCTTATGTTATGTTCACCATAAATGCAGTCCATTACGCTGATTCTTTTTTTTTTTTTTTTAAGATTTTATTTATCTACTTGACGGAGATCACAAGTAGGCAGAGAGGCAGGCAGAGAGAGAGGGGAAAGCAGGCTCCCTGCTGAGCAGAGAGCCTGATGCAGGGCTCCATTCCAGGACCCTGGGATCATGACAAGAGCCGAAGGCAGAGGCTTTAATCCACTGAGCCATCCAGGCACCCCCATGACACTGATTCTTAATGATATTGATCATTTATCTTATTTTTTGGGTGTATTACCCACACATATTTTTTCCGTAAATTGACTATGTTCTGTTTCTTCAGTGGGAGTTTTTTGGGGACTTGCATCAGTTTGTATAAACACTTTTTATATTAAAGATATTATTTTACTCTTTCATAGTAAATTTATTTCCCAGATTTAAAAACAGTGTAAAATTTCATTTAGTGTTTTTTATGTACAGAAATTAAATACCTCTTTGTAGGGGTGCCTGGGTGACTCAGGCAGGTAAGTGTCTGACTCTTGATTTGGGCTCAGGTCATGATCTCTGGGTTGTGAGATCAAGACCTGTCCTGGGCTCTGTGCTGGGCATGGAGCCTTGCTTAGGATTCTTTCCTCTCCCTTTGCTCTCCCCCTCCCCCACAAAAAATTATTTGTAGTCAAATTTCTTGATTTTTCCCCTTATGGTATTTTTGTCAATTACTTTCATTTGTCAACTGTTAATAAAAAGTGAAATAACATGAGATCTGGTAGCAGAAAGAGGAAAACAGGAACATGGACAATTCATATAATTGAGAATCAGTCTGTTAAACACAAGACAAAACTGAAAATGTTACAACCAAACCAAACCAAAACCAAAAATTATGTTAGGAGGCGATATAAATGTCCTCTTGGACAGTGAATCTTTCTTTAAAAATAATTATTTTATAAGGATGTACTGTGATATATTAACCCTAGAATTCAACACATTTTTATCAGAATTTGTTATTTTTCTGAGTGGTAAACTGGCTTTTCACATTAGAATGGAGGAAACCAGGGCCCTGAGGGCCTTTCATTATCACCTGGCAACTGAAGATGGAGTCACAGGCATCTGTGGAAATAGATGCTACTTCCAGTTCACAAAGTTAAAAGGGGGTACTGCATTCACTCGTCTGTGATTTTGTGTAGGTTCACTGTTGGCTATGCTTTTGTCTACTGGTGCACATGCACATTTGCCAGCCTCAGAGCATGATTCTCTAGTGGTTAATCTAAATAGCACAAAATGAGATAAAGGCATTTTCATATTTCATTGTACTGATCAGCTAGTAGTGTCAATAAATTTGTTCCCTGTGCCATTTAACATTAAAAGGGGCTTTCTTTAATTAACTCATTTGCTTTCATTATCTCATCTACATTTTCTGGTCAAATAGGGTGAAGTGAAAGTGAGATGACGTGGATGGCAATTAGACTCCAAACACAGAGGAGAGCTCTGAACTCACATCTTCATAAATGTCAAAGAAGGTTGCAACCATGGCATCTCTGATTTGATTTAGGTCCATCAGCTCCCAGTAGACTTTAAACATACGATGTGCCCCCTCACAGCTTGCATTGTTGCAAGGAACATTCTCCAGTAAAAAGGCCTGCTGATTGCTGTAAGATAAAGGAAAGGCATTTAGTTAATAGAACACATCAGTTCTGTCTAGTATCAGCTGTGCTGTATTTCCTAGAATCAGAGATGATAAATAGTATATAGTGGAAATGATATGAAAAAAAAAACCCCTACATTTTACTGATAATTGTACTGTATCACGCAAAAATTAAATTGTTGGCTATCCTATGTGAGCCTTTGGCAAAAATTCTCTAAGGTTACCTAGTTGCTGGCCTCTCTCCTTTTACATGGAGGTTCCAGGTCTATCCTTTCTTCCTCCCTTGCTAATTCAGTCACTGGCCCTGTAGTTTCATTATTGGGTTCCTGGACACTGTCATTATACCTTCCGATGTGTATAGCTCTTCAGATGAGTATATGCATTTTACATGGAACCACCTGATATCCCCAAGTCTTGGAAACCCAAAGTAGCAAATCCATAATAATACAATTTCAACTTCCAGACAGGCAGTAGGATGGATATTGCTGAGCTCTCAGACAAAAGCATTGTAATTTTCATAGTTATGTAGTCCTCCCTCTTATATGCTACTCTGTAGGAAAAGTGGTTATAAGCTTAGATTCTGGAGGTGGAGTACCTGGATTCAAATCCTGACTGCCCTTTAGCAGCTATATGACCTTGAGTAAATTAATTTCCTGGAGACTCATCTCCTTATTTCTAAACGGAGTAATAAGAGTACTTACAGGATTGTTGTAAAAATGAAATACTGAAAAAAAATGAAATACTGAATGTGAAGTACTTAGAATAATTCCTGTCATCCACTTATCTCAGTAAAAGTGTTTGTATTATCATCATTCTTATTTCTATAGTGTAACACCATGCCATACAAAAATATTTCCTCTAGAAATAGGAGTAACTTCTGTAGTGTGATTTTATGTAATGGTTCCTATAATAGGCATTTCCCAGTGTACACAGTCCTTTACTTCCCTCTACTTATACAAAAAAATAATAGATTAAAGGTCTTAAATTTTACTACTGCTCAATTTTATCTAATAAAAATTATTATTTTTGAGAGAGGGCGAGTGGGCAAGGGGAGGGGCAGAGTTAGAGAGAGAATCTTAAGAGGCTTAAAGAGGCTCTGCATCCACCACAGAGCCTGATGTGGAGCTTGATCTCAGGATCATGAGATTATGACCTGAAATTAAGAGTCAGACGCTTAAATGACTGAGCCACCCAGGTGCCCCTCTAATAATTATTTTAAATAAAACTAAAAAGATATTTCATTTGAGATGTTTTCATATTTTATATGTAAATATTACTTTGGGTCTGGACATTTTATAAAAGAAAAAAGCTCTGTTATAAGGAAAATTTCCTAGTGTTTATAATACAGTAAGGGAACCTATGTATAAAACTTTCCATTTGCATAATGTACCAAATATATGATTGACTTTAAATTACTTTTCTAGATAAAAATTCCAACACAACTAGTTCCTAAGAACAAATCATTAATGAAGGAGAAAAAAGACCTCCCAGATTATAATAATTACCTGAAAAATGTTGAAGGGACTTTGCTCAAGACCTAACATAATTTCCAGGTAATTTAACCATCCTACTTTTTTTTTTTTTTTTTATTTTTTTATTATTTTTTTTTTTTTTAAAGATTTTATTTATTTATTTGCCAGAGAGAGAGAGGGAGAGCGAGCACAGGCAGACAGAATGGCAGGCAGAGGCAGAGGGAGAAGCAGGCTCCCTGCCGAGCAAGGAGCCCGATGTGGGACTCGATCCCAGGACGCTGGGATCATGACCTGAGCCGAAGGCAGCTGCTTAACCAACTGAGCCACCCAGGCGTCCCACCATCCTACTTTTTTAGCTGAAGAATTTTACTAGATATTTCACAAAAATGAAGAATATTCTATTTGGTTATTAGGAGATTATATTAAAACATGAGAACATGTGATAAAGGCAGCTTTTCTACAATCTTCTGTAACTAATGTATTATACTGGCCAACCTTTTGAGTCACTGTGCCCCACTAACTTCCCTTTTCAAAGTGCATGGATTTCATTATTAGAACTATGGCTGCAACTTTAAATACAGAATACAACCGACAACAGAGACTAATTGTAGTTGTAGAATTTAAAATGTCATTTTAATTTCTGATATGAGTTTGTAAAGATTATAAATGCCATGCACCATGGTTCTTGTCTCATTGCTCACTATCTTGGTTTTGCACTATGGAACTTGGGGTCTGTAAAATTTCAGCTAAGTGTTATTGAACCCTACACGCAGAGCCCAATATCTCCCTCTTATAAATAAAATTCCACTTAACCACAGGAAGGAAGAATCTTGATCCATTTGGGTTGGAAACCCATGAGGAGAATGATCTTGCTTCTTTTGAGTCTGTCTCTTGATGTGTTATTGGCAATTACAACCAGTTTATCTTTTTAAAAACTGTTTTTTTTTTTCAAAACTTACAAAGTTATTGTGAAATTCAAGTAATGGAAGACATTTAAAAAATAAAATTCTTCCTTTCCAGGGATAACCATTGTTATTTGGTATATATCTTTCCCAACCTTCTTCTGGGAATATATAAATATGTAAGTATATATAGCCTTAAAGAAACCCATGTGGGTTCTACTACACAGATTTTTCTGCAACTTATTTCTTAACATTCAATCATACAGCATAACAGGGCAAAGGGGTATGATCTGAATGAGAATTTCTGATATTCATTTTGAAAAGTCCCCTCAGAGAAGTGGTACTAGTTTATAAATCCCAGCAGCAGCCCATCAAATTACCTGGTTCTCCACATGTGTGTTCTTTTCAATGGATACTCCACAATATGTTTAAGCCATTACTAGTTTTAACACCCTGCTCTTTATAGATAGTGTTCAATCATTATCCATTACAGTGTACCACACATTCACACATATATACTATTTGCCCTTGGGAATTTGTACAAAGGTTTCCAAATGATAGTCATTGGTCAAAGAGTATGCATATTTTAAAAGTCCATAGGTAAAGCTAAATGGTCCTTTAAAAAATGTACCAATTTGTACTTCTGGTAATGTATGAGTATATCCTCCATATCTTGCCAATATTAATAGCATTGCTTCTTATATTTGCCAGCTGGGTAGCTTAAAAATCTTATTCTCCTGATTATAAGAGCAGCTATAACTTAAAAAAATTTTTTAAGGGGCACTTGGGTGGCTCAGTTGGTTGGGCGACTGCCTTCGGCTTGGGTCATGATCCTGGAGTCCTGGGATTGAGTCCCACATCAAGCTCCAGCTCCACGGGGAGTCTGTTTCTCCCTCCCTAAAAAAAAAAATTTTTTTATATGTATATTTTATATATACATATAAAAATATATATTTTTAAAAGATTTTATTTATTTATTAGAGAGAAAGAAAGAGTATGTGTGAGTGGGCAGAGGTTTGGGAGTGGGGTGAAAAGAGGAGGAGGGAAAGAATCCCAATCAGACTCCCAAGCTGAGCTCAGAGCGTGATGTGGAGTTTGATCTCAGGACCAGGAGATTAGGACCTGAGTGGAAACCAAGAGTGAGACACTTAACTGATTGAGCCACCCAGGCACCCCTGAGTATTATTTTTATATTTATCAGCTATTTGTATTTCTTCTGGGAATTGGCACTTGAGTATATTTTTTCAATTACTGATTTTTAGGACATCTCTGAGTGTTAGTCGTATTAACATTTTACCTATTATTCTTATATCATTATTTGCAGCATAAGGACAAAAATAGTGTATTAATTTAAATGGTTGTTGTAAGGATTAAATGAGAAAGTACATGATAAAGAGTTCAGTAAAGTGCCCGAAACATAGCACAGCATACATTCAGTATCTGCTCTTCTTGATATTTTATTATTATATGTGATGTTATTACTCATAGATTGCAAACATTTTGTCCCGGCCTTTTATTTTAAGAATTTATGGGTTCTTAAAAAAAAAAATATGGTGTTCTTCACTGACAAATTGATACTATGACGTAGTCATTTATGTCAATATTTTTCTTCATGGCACTGTAAGAAATGTTAAAGTAAGTCCATCATCAGATGGGAAATGAAACCAGATGAATACTACATTTACACAAAGGAATGAAGAGCAGTGAAAATGTTAAATATGTGGGAAAGTAAAAAATATATAGTTTTTATTATTGAAATCTCTTTAAAGATAACTGATAATTAAACACAGTGCAATGTGAAAGACATGAGGAGATATAAAACGTGTGAAATGGCAGCACCAAGGCCAGGAGGGGAGAAATGAAAATGTACTGTTATATGGTTCTTCAACTGCAAGTGAATGGCACAATATTGTTTGAAGATGGACTGGGATGAGTTAAAGACTCAACCAGTAAAATGACAAGATTTATAGTTAATAATTTAACAAAAAGACAAAGTATCATCTTAAAAAATGCTCACCTAACTCAAATAAAGGCATGAAGGGGAAAACACAACACTGCTGGTGGGAGTATAAATTGGTACAGCCCCTGTTGCAAGCAGTATGAGGGCTCTTCAGAAGAATTAAATGCAGAATTATCATAAGATACAGCAAACCCAATTTTTAGGTGTATATTAAAAGGAACTAAAATCAAAATCTCAAAGAGATATTTGAAATCCCATGTTCACTGCAGTAATATCTACAACAGCCAAAGTAAGGAATAGTCTAAATGTCCATCAATTGATGAATGGGTAGAGACAACGTGGTGTGCACATGTGTATATGTGTGTGTGTGTGTGTGTCTGTATGCTGGAATATTATTCAGCTTCAAAAAAGAGACATTTGAAACAACATGGAGGAACCTGGAGGACAATATAAGTGAAATAAGGCAGATATAAAAAGACAAATACTATATGATCTTATAGGTAGAATATAAAAACACTGAACCTAGAGAGTAGCATGTTGGTTGCCAGGGGTGGCATTTTCAGTTATAAGATGATTAAATTCAGGGGATCTAATGTACAGCATGGTTAACTACAGTTAACCATACTATACTGCATACTGCAAGTTGTTGTTATGAGAATAAAGCTTTCAT